GGGGGGGTGTGGATGAATAAACAACACTTCTGACATGTATCTATGGAAAAAAAAAGAGTAAGAGAGAAAGAAAGAGAGGGGGTGAGAGTGAGGGAGAGTTACTGATAAAGTTAGCTGCACATGACGTAGACTGTCATGGTCTGATGTTTTTTCTTTCTTATATTCTGTGAAGGTGGGGATTGTTTGGGGAAGGCAAATGGCATTTGCATGTTGTTTTTTAAAAATCTGAATTAAAGCTGTTAAGATCCTATTTTACTAAAAATGAAAAAAAAAAAGTTTTGTAAATCGTAACGATTCAGACTAATTCTCAAAGATGAGTGTCCTTTGATTTTCCTGCTTTCTCACGTTTATTTTGATTTGGATCCATTTTCATGATGTTATCTTTACCGGAAATTCTGAAAATGAAATTCCTGGCTTTTCCCGTTTTCCCGGTTGAGTGGGAACCCTGCAACCCCGCTCACCTCGCCCTGTCCTGCCCGTTCCAGCAGGCGTCCTCCCCTGACGGGTCCACCACGGCGTTGTTACACACAGTGTACGGCAGCTGTACCCAGAAGTCCTTGGCGTTCTTTACCTGAGAGGTTTTATGAAAGTTTTACAGCACTTGCAACACTGTTCGGTCATACAATAAGAGCTGAAGATTAGAGGTTTACTAGAAAGTAACATACAAAGAAACGAAAGAGGAAAGATAAAGGCGACAGGTGTATGACTGGAAAGGAGGAACAAACCATATCAGAGAATCCACCAACCACCCACCACCTGAGAGGGATACACATACACGAGGAGGAGGAGGAGGAGGAGGAGGAGGAGGAGGAGGAGGACTACATGTATATACCTCATATCCCCGCTAACCAGCAAGCATGATGAGCTTTATAATCTGTCTTAATACCCAAGCAGACCCTTCAACATGCAGATAAAGTCTCTGCTTCTTAGGAAGCATACAGTACAAGCAACCTGTTAAGCACTCAAACACTAGCAATGTGACACGGTCTTTCACTGTTTATAGCCAGGAACCCATTCTCACCTGGGTGAAGTAAAGAAAATTCGTGTAAAATATCTGTCCCATGGACACAACGATAAGACACAGTAACTTAGCAGACAGTCCTAGATACCCAATTTTAAAAAAATAAATTTATCATCCATTAATCAAATTCATATCTTCTGCAAGGGACAGCCGGCAAAAGAAAGGTGGTAACTATTGCTGTGCAAAAGTTGGAGTGATTAGTCAGTGAGACTTCTGAGAGTTTTAAGAAAATGGAAGCACATTCACACAATAAAGGTCATGTAGCATACGAAAAATGTAAGACATGGAGGCATGAACAACAAGGAAAAACATTATAATTTATAGTCCTATAGTGCCATTCTTTGACCATCCACAACAACCTCATCCTAAACAAACCTTATCCCTAATTCCAATGAAAAACAGACTAACTTTCCCTGAACTAAAAAAAACCTTACCTTATCCATCATATTAGTAAAAATTAGATTATCTTGCTCTGGATTCGAACCCTTACCTTATACTTCATACCCTAGATACACAGATAATCTTGCCCAGTACTACAATTCTTACCTTACTCCTCACATACTTCAAAAGCAGATTACTTTGCCCTCGACTCGAACCCTTACCTTATCCTTAATATCACGGACAAGCCTGTCCAGGCTGGTTCCAGCGGCTGTGGTGGGTCGGGCGTGGGAGTTGCGGGGCAGGTGGTTGAATGTGAAGGTCTGGCTCTGGCTCCGACCTGCTTCTCGCTTATTTCTTGACAGCTTAGGGTTGCCACATCGGCCAAATATCTGCGAGGACACCAGATTTGAAGTTTTGAGTAAAGAGAAAGGTATCCATCAGCACAATAATGGTCAGTTAGTGATGGGGAAAATGTAAGACAGATAGACAGAAACAGTGCGCGGGGGCTGACAGAGAGACAGAGACAGAGAGAGAGAAAGAGAGAGAAAGAGAGACAGAGACAGACAGAGACAGACAGAGACAGAGAGAGGGGCAAATCGAGAGAAACTGACAGAGACAGAAAGGCAGAGGTACATACACACACACAGACAAATACACATGCAGAAAGACACACAGACACACACACAAACAGACAAACAGACACACAAAAAGCTTACCTGCACGGAAACCTTCTCGCTGTTCTCCTGTAGATTCATGATAGCGTCTGAGATCTTTACGTCGATGGGGTCCACCACTGACTCGATGTTGAACGGCCCCTCCAGGCGGTCAGCCAGCTTGTTCAGGGCATCTGATGGACGACACACACACAAAAAAACATTATAGCTCATTGTAGGTTGTTTTTGTTTTTAAAGTTTTAGAAGAGTTTAGTTTTAGTAAGAATTTTACGGCACTTGCAACACAATAAGGTCATATAAGTGCCGAAGCTAGGTGTTACAAGAGAGTAACAAACACACCAAAAAAAAGGAGGGGAGATCAGAACAATAGATGTTGGATAGGAAAGAAGGAGCAAACCACGCCAGAGCACCCGCCAACCATCCACTTTTAGAAGAGGCTTTACGGCGCTCGCAACTGCATACGGTCATATGGGCGCCAAGGGGTGAATGTCAACAAAGAAGTCCTTACAGGGAATCGGGCTTACTCTGCTCACCTCTTTAGTTTCAACAGCACAAAGTTTGCTCCGACTTTCAAGGCAACACGGAAATAGCGGGTCACAAGAGTGTGACAAACATACAAAAAAAGTAGAGGGAAAATGAGGATAGTAATGATTAGGAAAGAAAAAACAGCAGCAGCAGTTCAGGCACTGTGCATAAGAACATGTTAATGTCCCCCCTTTGGAAATGGCCTACAGACAGTAGCTCATGGTTTTTAAATGATATTATAATTCTGTTGGTACGGGAACAAAGAGAATGTGTCAACATGGTAGTAATAGGTATACTTAAATAAGAAAACTGAACTCAAAAAGGTATATTGTTTGAAATAATAATAAGATGATGGTGATATAAATGCCAAAGTTTAGAGGAGTGCATAAAGAGTAACGTTCAAAGAAAAGAAAAAGCGATTAGGAGGATAGATGTTTGACAAAAAAGAAGGATCAAATCAAACCAGAGCATAAATGCACGCGCACGTACACACACACACACACACACAAAACACACACACGCTCACATACATACACAGAAAAATATAAAGAGAACGCGAACATA